ATATTTTTATTGTTTTTCTTAAGTTTTTGATTGAGTTTGATCATGTAACACCTATCATTAGTGAATATTCAGCGTTTTTCAGCATTTTCGGCATCTAAAATGTATTCCAAATGTACCCTTGGTTACCACTTACTTAGAGATAAATTCTAAATAGTTTTTTATTGCATAAGTGGCAACAAGGTGTCATGTTTTTGTGAGAATGGTTTGTTTGTTTTCTTAGTCTTTATTAAGGTTTAATAAAGATTCAAAGTAGCTGAAAATCTCAATTTTTCCAACTTTTCTGGCTGTTTCCATGGCAACCAGGACACATAGGAACGGAAATTTATTTGATATACGTTTCTGTTGTAAGTTGTAATAACGGGCAAAGTTTCATCAAAATCGGTGACCATGCGTGGCAAAGAAGTTTAAGTGATTAAGAGAATCGCTATTAAATGTTATTGTTTATACAAACTCAAAATGATCTTACAAGGCTCTAGTCATTGGCTGAGACTTAATCTCATTGTTTATAACTTTCACTCATGGGACTCATTTTTGTATGATACTGTCTGATTTTTTGCTCTGTAGAAATCTTCAAATCCATCAGTTTGATGATGCAATAATTCAAATATTTTACAAACTAAATGAGATGTAGGAGACATTAGTATATAGGGAACTAAACCTGCATTGCTATTGAGCTATCTTTATTGTTGTTGTGGTAGAGTCTCCCTCAATTTCAGGCAAGTCAAGCTGTGGTGACCTTTGGATGGGTGACCGCTTTACATTACACAATCATATATAAAATAGAGAGACTCAATTTAAAAAAAGGTTGAGTCTATAATAGTGTCTGTGTACACTCGCATGTGACATCTGACAACAAGAATTTTCCTTAAACCAAATTAATCAATGATTTGATATACACCACTTAAAAAGTGGAAACTGGTCATGGTCCATGTTGGATCAATGAAAAATGCTTAGATTATTTGTCAAACTATTTTTTTTACTCACTTTATAAAATAACTTGATTTCTTATTACTTTGTTCATGATTTAAGGATTTCTATACTACTCTGGGGATTTTAAGAGATCATTGGCAAGGTTATTGTGATATCTTTCAGATGATACATGTATTATGTATTGTAAAAAGCCAGCAATTAGAAAACTTAAATAACTTACTGTATTACTTAAAGGCTTGACAGGCTATATACCAGATCATTTTTTTCTCAACAGAATAATGCATTAAGGCGGGATTCCTCTCATATTTTAGTATTTAAAAATCAATGAATTTTTCACAGAATTAAGAAAACAATAGCACTAAGTGATGGTATCATTTAGATTAAATTTGCCCGTATTATATTAGAGGGAAGGTCAGGTCAAGGTCATTACCTTTTCCCTGGACATTAAGAATAAAAAAAAGTACTGTTGCCTACTTCTATTTCAAAATATTAAATGTTTTTCTTTTTGCATAAAGAGATATTACCATCTAGGGTCTATAGGATGATATTACCAAATAGACATAAATAATTTCACTAAAATGGATATTGGCTAATCCGAATTTTCTCTATTTTTCTTAAAGAACTATATACGGTAAGGGCGTATTCCTGCCCCCATAATAGTCAAATTTTGAAAATCTCTTGAAATGAGAAAAAGTGCATATATTGTATAAAATAATCCAAATTAAGACAATATATTATGAAATTGGAAAAATTAGTTGGCTTTTCTTGTCTCTGTGACGTCACAAACTATTTGGATTTTCGTTATTTTTAAAATAGAGGCCAAAATGCACAGAGTTTGTTCAAATTTGACTATAGTATTTATAGAGCGCAAGCTTGCTCAGGTACCATATTCACATATTTCATTGATATTATCATTCTACACATTATATCAAAAGATCTAGTCTGAGCAGACCTGCGCTCGATAATTTCCAATCAAAATACCGACGTAAAATACACTATTTTCTCTCAAAATCATTGCAATTTGGAATTTACGTCATTTTATTGACGTCATATCTAACTAATGATGTCATAGTTGATAAAAATATGTAATGCTTTGAAGTCTGCAAATATCCACCTGGTTTAAAACATAATTAAAGATTTCTCCATTAAAGTTTTATTTTGGGGGCAGATACTGGCCACTACAGAATATAGTCCTTTTCAGGATATTTTAGTTATTTTTATATGCTTCCTATATTAATTTTTCTTCAAGTCTTTGATTGTGTAAAATTTAAAACTAAGTTCATTGGTCTATAATATTTTTGAGAGGCAGAAAAGAAGATATTTTCATACGCCATTCCGCCAAAAATATAGTCCCTTCTAGATTTCAGTTTACCATTCCTATTTAAAGTTGTACAATTGTGATGAGGAAAGAAAAATATGATCTTTTAAATCTCGTACATCTAAATATATAAAGCATATAAGCAGATATACTTTGAATATTTCATATAGTCAGAAACCAGACAAGAATCCCTCCTTAATGTACATCTCCCATTCAAAGAAGTGGGACACATTTCTTGAATGATTAATGGGTAAAGCAATTGTTTAAAAGCTCAAAAGGTCAAAGGTCATCTGATTCACTACTATATTCAACTTTTATTGCCTCCAGCAAATATCTCGAAAAGTTGCTTTTGATAGTCTTTTAGTATTTTAATACCTTAATAAAAATGATACATGTATAACAAACAACTAACTTTTAGATCAAAGGATGAATGTCATTGACAAGTAGTATTCGGCTGTACTGCTAACTAAAATGATATAATTAAGAATGGTATACTTTACAGTAATTAAAATTGAAAGACAGGTTAATCTGTAATAATTTAATGACCCTCATTAGTGATTTTCAGGACAAAGCTCAGCAGGTTCTCTGCTACATTAGCAATTCCATATGATGCCCCAGTAGTATCTCAAGAACCTCTTGCTTGACATTTATTTGCAGAGGCAGGTTTTGACTAATATTTAATACTCTTTACATTATAAATGGCTAAGGTTTAAGCATTTTTTCAGCATTTTAAAGTAGCACATGCCCCTCAACAAGTTTTTTTTTTAAAAAGTTAATCAACCTATTTAGCAATCCATTCAAAATTAGGATGCAAAATAAAATTGTCTTGCAGTAGTATGTAGCAGTAGAAATGGTCAACTGTGAAATGATATTGTTTTGTACGTAATATTATACATATATTTACTACTGTGTTCAAACTAATTCCATACAGATAACCTTTTAAATTGACTTTAAACATCAGGAATTGTTTAATAAAGATAAAGTATGTTTTTCAGCCACATTAATGATGTTTCTTTATGATTCTTTCTCTGATACAAAATATTTTATACTGGTAAGAATTAATGGCTACAGTCGAACAAATGTATTAAACAAATTCATGTAGGAGAAGAAACAATCCTAAAGGAATTTGAAATTTTCTACAGGACATTTTTCTCCCCGGAAACGAAAGTTTTACACATATGTATGAATTTTTGACCTTGACTTTTGACCTTTTTCCTCAAAATCAATAGGGGGTCTTCCTTGCGCCATAGGGAATTGTGTTATAAATTTTTTTTGCAAAAACTCAAAGGCTTCTCGGGGTGTCCCTCGGAAACGAAAGTTTTCAAACAGACATACTTTATGAATTTATGACCTTGACCTTTGACCTCAAAATTAATAGGGGTCTTCTTTAAGCCATAAAAGGAACAAAAGAGTTACAGACAGACAGAAAAACAGCTAGGCGGACGGACAGAAAGACCTAAATTAAAATTGCCTACTTTCAGTGAAAGCTGGGGACAAAAAGATATCACTATTTTTTTTAATTTGAATTAGGATGTACCCTTTCGATATTTAAATTTGTTCATGAACTCCATGCAGTACATATACGTGATTGTTGAAGCAGCTGACCAAGTTATACTCAATACAGAACGGGAAATAAACTGTTTATTTAAATCGATATTAAGTCTTTCGATATAATAATAAATTTACAAAATTGAATTTAATTTTCATAAGGTTTATATTTGTACCCTTCTATATGCCATTGATTTTCTCATAGTACGCTGCGAATCTCACCAGTCAAGATGAACAGAAATAATTACAGCTCCAGCATTGGCACCTGCAATCTCATCTTCTTTCTTCCTCTTGCTTCCATACTACATGCTAAGTAACAATATTAAAAAAAATGGTCATAGCTGGTACGTTGTGACATAAGTACCCAGCCAACATAATCAACATAATTAAAAACAAACTGCGTTTCAATTATTTAAATTATCCTAAAAATAAAGTGAAAGAAAAAACCAGGTTACGTATAGGATTCTAAAATAAGAGGAAAGAAATGTAAAAGAAAAACCCTATCAACATAATCAAAAACAACTGCATTTCAGTAATGCGGCTATCCAAAAGAAAACGCGTAATAAAGGAAGAAACGAGAGTCTCATAAAAAATTCTAAAACAGAAAAAGAAAAATGAAAAGAAAACAAGGCCAACAAAATTAAAAACAAGTTACATTTGAGCTGTATATGTACCTAAATTAACAAAAAAAAGTCTAGTTAAAGAAGAAACCATTGTCTCATAAAGGAATTCTGCTTGGGCGAAAGAAATTAGCAATTACAGGTGCTGTATTTTTTCAAGAAATTTGGTAATAAAAGTGATCTGAATCATTCCATTGTGGTTTAAATTATTTCATATTATCCCAACATAATGCAGAGAGAAAAATACTTAGTCAGATAAATCACTACATTTCTATAGTGAAAACAGTAATTTGAGAAATCAAATAAATGCGACTATCTACAATTTTCTTTTTGCGGGTGAACATTGCATGTCGTTATTTTTCAAGAAAAGGATATGCGTTAATTATTGAAATTTTATTCATTGCATTTAAAGAATTTTAGATAGTTTGTACAATTGATATACAGTTATACACATAAATTATTTTTATTCAGAAAAAAAAAATCAACATAATTCAAAAGTTTGTTTTATGTAAAACAATTAGCATTTCCTGAAGAAAACAATGAGATGTTGTTTTACAATGCTTTGAATTTTGAAATATTTTCAGAGAATAGACAAAGAAGCCGCTTTGCTGGATTTTCTATCTATATATCCAACACACCTAGTAGAGAGGGCAGTAGCCTCTGTTACAAGAACACACTTCCATTACCTCCCTTAGTGTTTAATACAACATGTATTGGATATGGTCGTTACGTCATCTATTACAATGAAAGACTGGACGGAGTTACATACCCTGAAGAATACGAAATTTTAGCTGCTATTACTGAGTTGTGTGAAGTTAAAGTACAAGGTAGTTTGAAATTTAATTTAGTAGTACATGTATCGAATAGTTTACTTTACAACCCCCCCCCTCCCCCAACCAATTACAATCTTTAGCATTAAAAACCTATCTGAGCTAATGCATATGAATTCTTTTCTGTGCTTGTTTTGAGTGTTTCTATTTCCCATTATTATATACAACTAGATGAAATCCCGCGCAAGCGCGGGTAATTGAATTTATACCACTACCGACAGAAAATATATTGTAGTTTCTACTGACAGTGTACAGGCTTATAGCAGGAAGAAATACTTTGTTCAAAATCCCGCATGCACGTCTCCAACCCCCTCCCCCCATCCCCTTTTGTAAAAACTTGAAAAAATAACAATTTCATTAGTTGAAGTTTCTTGTGAAACTGTTATACTATGTTATGGATATTGTTCTTCAGATGCTCTTATTTCATTCAGGATAAAAGCAGCGAATATGCACATTTTACTAAATAATTGATTGGGGTTTTTTTGGGGGGGAGGGGGGAGGGGTTAAAAATTCACAGGTACTTGGGTCTTGTTTTACAAATATTTATGTACCTTATTGATATGTAAAAAATGTACTTTACCTTTTTACAAATCAATAAGGTACATACATATATATAAACCAAGACGCAAGTACCCGTGTAAAAATTAGCTTTTAACGCCCTATGAATAGGCCGAGTATTTGATACAAAAGACTGTATTTAGAAAAAAAAACTGAAATGTATTGATTAAAGCACAAAACTTTACAGCTTTAATTGTATTTGAGCAATATCTTATTCATTAATTTTCTCTTTTCATGTAAGCAATTTTATTACGAAGTAGAAATTGTGCCTCGGGTTTGTTGCCACGATACTCTCAGTGAGGAATATATACACATTTTACCGATAAATTTATTAGGAAAACCTAATACATATATGTAATAATCTTTCGATATATAAATATATGCAAAACTTATAGTGTTATCAATGATTTACCATCATTTAAAAGATCATGCGCAAATAAGCTTTTTTATGTTCCTGCAGCTATGATCAAATCGTTTTTTCTTTTTAACATCGGGCTCGATGCTATATGATGTTCTAGAAGCTTCCGTCAATATTAAGATCAGTGAATGACAAAAATAATTTGCACATTTCCCTTTTTAATCGGTTATCACAACTTGTTTCTTTTATGTCATTTAAATCAAGTTTTGCTTGAATAATTCAGTGATGACGTCTTATGAAATAAATAAACGATTGATTGTTGTCAGTTTCATTGAAAATTGCCAGAAACTGAGATCCGCCAACCGGAAAGGCCACCGTACTCACGTTTTGCTATTTCATGGCTGTTTATAGAAAATAAAAGTAGACTTTTAATTTAATGTACGATACTTACAATGCGAGTGAAATCTATATATAGTTTACGGACATATTGTATCTAGTGTATTCTTAGAGGAGTAAGTAAAATCTCTGGTGCATCCGTTTCGGAGTTTATTTGTAAAATTTATTAATTTATAAGTATAGATAAAAGGCAAAATGAAAGGGACGAGTTAATTTTCTTCGTTAAACATATTATTTATGTAACAAATTTTTAAGAAGCTTTTAAAACTACAGGGAATAAATGCATACATGTACCACTTCATTAAATTCAGTGAAAACTTTTGTTGTGACCGTACTTTACTTAAGTCTCAATTATGATATGTAAAGAATTGTAAAAAATAAGTTTTTAGCCCCTTTTCAATATTACTTAGTCAACAAAATAAACTGGTGTGCGCCATTTGCACACAATTTCTAAAATATTCTACAAGAAATTAGAATTTCTCAACCCATCCCCCTGCATCTTTGCTGTCATACACTATAAATGGAATACATCTTAGCATTTTTTCTGAACGATCCCTAATAGAAAAGATAAACCAACAAGACACTGCGTTTTTAAAGTCTTTGCGGGATCTTCTGCCTTGATTGAAAACAAATGTAGGATCTTAAAATTGATAAATTGAAAGTTTGTTTAAATCTAGCGCCCTTCTTTGTTACGGTAATAGACTAATCACCTAGTCATAATATTCAAATAAATTTCTTACCTAAAAATACGAAGATTTGGAAAATTCGTTTCCACTGATAAAAAGTATATCATTCTTAAAGTGCATGTCTCTTATATCGTTTCTTTCTTAGAAAAGTACTAAAAAATGAAGTCTTTCTTCGAAGATACATAAACAATTCTTCATATTCAGGAATTTCCATGAGAAGTTTCGGGTTTGATTTCAAATTCAATTTATTCTTACAAGTCCGAAGCCAAGTCAAATGAGCTAGATTTTTTGACAAGGTTAGACAAAATAATAGCAGCAGTGACAGTGAATAAAATGTCATTTAAGCAAGTAAAGGACGAAAAGGAAAATACACAAAGTTATGAGGTCGGAAAAAAACTAGCAAAAACTTTTAAAGAACACATAAAATCTTTGTCATTAGGTTATGCAGACTGACCCCCTTAACAGGTTCGCTCCTGAGCTTTTGAGCAAATTTTTGTATTAACCTATATTTCAAAAATTCTGCATAATGTTTTACTTCTTACAATAAATTTCGATTCTACAATATCAAGTATTTAAAGTATGTTAAGTTTGGATTCATATTTTTCCATGCAGCTTGCACACAAAGTTATTCTAGGCCGTGAACTGTTTTCTGCTGGTCCTATATTATATATTAATATACTATTATGAATTTTATCATCATATTTGATAAATATTGCAAATATATTGCGAAATCAAAAAAAAAAAAAAAAAAAAAAAAAAAAAAAGCTTTAACTTAAGCGTAAAATTAGCACTATTTTAGTAATATCTAAAAATAAACATCACAGACCCCACTTTTAATTTTCTTTTCTGAATATATTTTTAACCATTCTTCTTAAATTCAGTAAAATGACATTATTTTTAAATGATTTTATTGCTTGTTAAAATTTTTAATGCCAGAAAATTGATATTTTTGAGTGTAAAAAAATCAAATAATTGAACATGCGAAGTAATTTGAAAATTTTTGGTTGTCACAAATTTTAATGTGTCTATTCAAGATTAAGTAAGACTGTGTTTGTTCCCATAATTTATTTGAATAGAAAATATTGGAGGAAAAAACTCTGATGTTTTGGAGGTCCGTGTTTGCTCTGCACCTATTTTGTAATGTTTAATGGACTTTTGAGCTTGAATACTGTTCATTATCTCCATATATTCCACTTAAAAACTGATTTATGTGTAAGACATATTTACAGTGCAAAAAGGTCAAACTCAATGCTCCGTAGCGCAAAAACAAGCGCATTGACCCCCATTTTTTGTTTTGATTTTTAATTAAGCTATATGTGTAGATTCTAAGAATATACTTGATAAAAAATTCTCATTACTTTTGATGACAGGATCCAAACTCCTTAAGTTTAACAATCCATAATTCAAACGCTGATATGCCTGCCATAAAATAGGAGGGATAAATCAAAATAAATTTCAAGATAAATGCAAAATATCAACACTGTATGTATAACAATAAAAAAAAGAAAGTTGGATGGAGGGTTTTTCTAACGAAATTTTCCCTTGCAATTCAGCATGGCTTTCTCCTGTGGTAAATAAACACCAATCATGGTAACGTGACTAGGAGAAGCCACGCTGATTGGCTGTAAATTTAGACAATCGTGACATAGATTAAAAAAGACAATTGATCCCAGGATAAATAGTCTTTAAAAAACACAAAAAACACAGCAATTACCAAAATGCAATCATGTCACATAACGAATATTATAAAAAATAAAACAGATACTTATTCTTTCTCTCACATAAAGGATATTAATATTTGTAAATACTAATGATTTATTTGATACTCTTAATAAAACATGCTATGAGTTTTCAAATAGTAAGTCAATGGTTATGTCTCGACAAGAATGGTTTTAGAAAAGAAAGCCAAAGAGGTTTTAATTGACTCATTAATAAAACATTTGCATTGCAAAGATTTAAAACATGCTAAATTTCTGATTCGAACAGGTTGTTCAAAAGTAGGAGTTTATGGAAGTAACTGTAGCACACCTTGTCCAATCAATTGTCAAGATGGGAGTTGTAACATTGTCAACGGATCATGCCTGGGGTGTGCGCCTGGATACATCGGACAAAATTGCAAAGACGGTACGAGAATTGCGATAACGAACATGTGTAGTATAACATTATATTAATGCATAATTAATTAAAAAAATATATTTGAAAAAAAACAGAATGTGTATGGGGTCGCCACGGCACAGATTGTAAAAGACATTGCTCAGGACATTGTAAAGGAAACATTTCATGTAACCATGTGACCGGAATTTGTGATGGAGGGTGTGCAGCTGGATGGATGGGGAAGCAGTGCGATCAACGTAAATATTATAGGAAAAGTTCCCCACTCCTTCATTCAATAGCCAATGTTTCCTTAGTATTTTTTCTCATGCGCGGATCTAAAGGGGATTGGGGGACCCACTAAAATTTGCAGAGTTTTAAAAAGTATATATATACTGAAGCAAATAAAAAATTACTTTGGACCCTCCCTAGAAAACGTGGACCCCACCATCACAACCACGAAATAGGAAAATGGATTTCCCCCTTTTTTTGCTTAAGAAATTTTTGGGTTAGAATTTTTTTTTACTGGGATGGAACCCGCCCCCCCCCTCCCGGGGGGGGGGGGATTCTTGGATCCGCGCCTGTTTCGGTCTTAGAAATTTCGTTATTATTCAATTTAAAATGGGAATTTTTTATTTAAATGTTTAAACTTCAGCAATATTTGAACTTTGGTTGTATTTGCAATGATACCAGTAAGGAAAAACTCATATATACCTATTACATGTAACACGCGCACATTGATGAAAAAATGTATAATTTGCACATATTTAAAAATAAGATAAATAATATTTCTTGTTTCAATCGATACTTACATGAAAAGAACATTTCAACTTTTAATATAAATACTGTACAAAAACAAAGGGAAAAGGTAATAAAACCACTGATTCTACAGATATGTCATAAAGCTTTTTCCAATATATATATATATATATATATATATATATATATATATATATATATATATATATATATATATATATATATATATATATATAAAAGCACTTCTGCATATTTTATCTGTATGACAAAGATTTCGAAATGTTTAAATTAATCTCTGAATAAACCCATCATAGAATGTAACAATGGAACCTTTGGTCCTGGATGTATTCATAACTGCAGTGGACACTGTTTGAATGGCACCTATTGCGAAAGAGAATATGGTTTTTGTGAAATGGGTTGTAATGCCGGATACGCTGGAAATCTCTGTTATGAATGTAAGTATTTGTTTTCAAATTTAGGGGTTCTTTTTGTGTTTGGTTTACGGTTTTTATTTTTTTTAACAGATTGTCTCAAGGGATTCTTCGGACAAAAGTGCGAGGAACATTGTAGTACAAATTGTATCAATAGAATATGTGACCATATAACTGGGGCCTGTGTCAAAGGATGTTTAAAAGGTTACACCGGAATGAGATGTTCCAACTGTAAGAAAATTAAAAGATAATTAATTATGTCTTTAATTTTAATTCATGCAAATTCTTTTCGAAGTTTATTGTTTTAAAAATATGTTTAAAAAAGAATGTTATTGATAATTCTACAACAGTTATTGTCGAGATCAAAGGAATGTCGCGGACATTTTTCTCCAATAAATCACGAACGTCATCCAAAAAAAAAATCAGATCAGAAACACATTTCAAAACTGTACAGTTTAAATGAATATCTGAGTTTAAAGTCTAAAACTTATTGAGACTATATCGATTTGTCGTCTTCCGCAGTCTAAATTTTGTGTATTGCCTGAAGCAGCTACTAAATGTCGGTTTTTACAGCTAAATGAAGCTTTTCTAAGGACCTCCCCACAACACTTATACTCCGTGATTTAATTGATTAAGCAATAATACAGACAACTGATTTTGTTATTTTTCCTTCATAAAATTATTTAATATATGTTACAAAAATATTTATAAATAATAAAAGGATATTATTAATCCAACGAAAGCTCAAATCGTCTGCATTCGATTGCAGTCGATACAGCTAAATGAAGCTGTAGATACACAAATGTAGATACAAAATTAAACAAACAAATTTACCGTCTCTTGGTAAGATCAGCCGAATTTTAGAGCTGTTAGTAAAATAGAAATAAAGTCCTGTTGTCGTGAATGATGCAGGATAACCTCCTCGGTCTCGAAATGCTGTTTGGGTTATAAAAGCCTCGGCTTTTGTATTTCAAACGACATTTCTCGACCTCAGAGGTTATCCTGCAAAATTCACGAAAACGCAGACTTTATTTCTTAAATGTATTGTTCTTGACTGTGTTGACTATGTCTTCTCTTTCAGTATGTCAAAATGGGCATTTTGGTGAAAACTGCTCTTATCTTTGTCCACCAAAATGCAACCAAACATGTCACCATGTACTCGGATCATGCCTTGAAGGTTGGTGGACCTTTCCTGAACCTTTATTTATTTATTCACTTGAGAATTAATCTTACCTCGGGAAATTTATAATCTTTGTACTCAGGCATTGTTTTGAGAATTATCATTTAATATTTATAATCAATTATAATTTTTAAAATACTGTAAAGGACATTCAGTTAAATACTTTTCTATTGAATCATGAATGAAATAATTGCTTTCTCATATAGAAGTTAAGTACGCTGTTACTTCTAAATATTCAAGTGAATTTAAAAAATGCATTCATTTGATGGAAGGCAATAAAAAAAAGTTAAAACCTGTTTTTATAGGTTATAATTTTATATAATTTTTATTGTCAAACTTAATTTTTTCAATACGATTGTAAAAAGCAATTTTACGAACATCAAACCTATACCAGTTCCTCAAAAATCAAAAACATGTACATGTGTATAAATATAACATGTATAACAATAAAAGAACATAAATAATGTGTCAAAAACAATTGAACCATACCAATTTTTTTTTTATTATTGACATAATCAAAGCAGTACATTCATAGATTTTTTTGTTAATTTGAATTAAAGTTTAAATTCACTTCATTAATCATGAATGATGTCGATGTTAGAATTTGTTATTTCTTTTTTCAAGAAGAAAAGACAGATCCTCAAGTGTCAGAAAAAAATCATTCCGTGAATGCTTTAACTTTGGTTGGAGTTTTAAGTGCATGCGCTGCTGCTATTATCATTTTTGCACTGGCTGTCATTTTTGTAAGGTAAACAAAGAAAATATAGTTAAATTTCTTAAATAAATATTTTTTCATTAGATTATTTTACTCTTTGATCAATTCTTATACTAAAAAATCCACTCAAAACATGATTATTACCAAATATTGATGAATCTCTTATTACCTATAGTCTTATTTTTTGAATATTTTAAAAAAGTCAGGCTTAATGCCATTTTTGGTTTTCTTTATGTCTTGTATCAAATGATTACCTTTGACTCTTAGTGGGAATATATATTTTACACTGCTTTTAAGAATGAATATTTTTAAAGGTTAAAAAGGAAATCATCAATAAAATCCACGAAAAGGATGACGATTTCACTGAAGGAAACAAGTTCTACAATAGAATTAATACCAAGAAACCTGGTGACAAAACGTACACACAAATGTCTTATAATCAGTTGAATATAAAACGCATTTTCACTGTTTCCAGTTCAAAGCTATATTATTCCCAAAACAACATTAATTCGTATTTTTATTCCATAAATATATCGTCCTTGAGAAAAGTAGTTTTTTTCTTTTCAAAAATGTTGAGGGTTGTTTGCAGTCCCAAATGTAATATAACCTTTTATAATATTTGTTATGAACTTACTTTAGAAAACAGCAACATACATGTACCTAATGTCCAAAACCGAGTGGATATTATTCATGACACAGCGAAAAAAGGGCGTCCAACTAACAAAACTATACCCGTGAGGAATTTACATACAGTTATAGCCAAAATGTCTGCAGCCGAGAACGCAGGATTCAAACATGAGTACCATGTATTACAATTAGATATACTTTATATTCGCTATATAACATATGTGATGTCATGATAATGTATGAACTGGTGCAATTAGAATCCGTGAAATTTAAATGCATAAAGAATAACTCATAAATAGTTTTTGACGATTCGACAAAGGATGACTGCACTTAAGGACATGCGACAAAATGAACTTTTAAATCAAAAATATTTCTCTTTTCATCGCAAGGATGGTCAACATCCTATCTACAACTTTATGTAATTACGTTTAATAATAGTGTGTATTTCCGAAGTTCGAATCTGTTTTCAAAGGCAGTGGTCATCACAATTTCTTGAATCTCCGTTCGATAATGTAGACGCAAACTTTTTTACTGACTTTTATACATAGTCAGCGCATGTTCGTCTATCGTTCTACGTTTAACAGTAGTTGTATATTTGCATAAATAACAATGTGTCAAAAGGAGATCAATAGGCAAACATGCGCTCATGGTTAAAAAGAGAAAAAAAACTGCTTCTTCTAACATTCGCTCTCCCTGTTGTAACCAAGGATTGTGACATGTTGAATATTATTTGCCACGTGATTTCTTAGCTCAGGTAACTTTGTGAATACTAAATTCAGTCACGTGACTTGTAAGGTAGCATGTTTTGTGCTAACTAGGACATTGTGTTCGAACACGTTAAGTCATCTGGCATTGATATAAAATCGGCTTTAATTACATTGACGTGCTCATATTGTTAATTTCGTTTTGAAACCTTTGTCAGAAGTGTATTTGTGCCATAGAGAATGGAGAGGGAGATTGTAAAGAGTGATCACGTTCTTTTTTCTAAACATGTTATTGTTATTTATCAAGTCTTATTTTAAACACAGTCTTACAATGTTAGCTACACCTCTCATGCATATCTAATGTTCAATCAAGGGCAAGTAAGTGTAAATTCACTATATTTGGAGAACAGTAAGGAAAAAAAACATTGAATCATTTTATTGTATCACAGTCTAAAATCATTTAAAGATTTAAATATGGTTCCAAATTGAGAGGATTCTTTCAAAAACATACAAAAGTGAAATAAGGTTTAGATATAAAAGCATCGGAAGCAACCGAAAAAGACCAAAAAACAGGCGTTAAGTGTAGTCATCATTTCGTGGTGTATGTAATATAAATTCAGATGTATATAATGAATGATTTTTTAATGCAGTCTTCTGTGTCTTTATTTTATAAAGAGAATCTCGCAAAGTAATTTTTAAAATTATTCCTTGAATTGACAGGAAATTCCAAAAGGCGAACTTTTTCAATGTGAAGAAGCTAAGAAGCCAGGCAATAAACCGAAAAATAGATACACAACTACTTTTCCATGTGAGTACATGAAATAAAATTACTTAGTTTAGAATTTGATTTTTTCTTGCCTTGAAACGAATAATATATATATATATATATATATATATAAACCAGACGATCACTCCCGAGTTGTTTTGAAAACTGCCTCCACACAAGAAGGTGACTACATCAACGCAAATTATATGGAGGTAAGAGTGCATTTTCATCAATTCACATGCATATACATTTTTATTCCATACGCACAGATATGTCCCATAAGAATATCGTTGTGTTGTATAAGGAAAATTAATTTAAATCTTAAATATCAATAACATATGTTATCATATTACATCATTGATATGAATTAAGGTAAAACAAAAATTTTTGTTATACTTTTATTCACTTAAATATTGTAAAGAAAACTTGAAATTCTGCAATATTTTTTTTTTCAGTACTAGTAATGCAGGGTGTGCCATTTTGCGTAATACGTATTGTAGAATATTATTTTCTGTTACTTTTTTTGCTCTTCTACATAAAAATTATAGCAATTTACAATTTCATATTTAGTTCCTGACATCTTTTTACAATATGTTTATATTACGTTAGAGATGACCATAACATAACTTCCTCCTAACCAGTATTTACTTTTTTAATGACGGATTTCCTTATACCTGTTATAAGCAAGATTCACTGTACATTTTTTACCAGCTACTATTATTAACATATTCCGTTAAATTTGTCATAAATCATATTATATTTCTTTAAAAAAAATGACATATTTTTGAAAATAGAATCCTACCGGTAAAAGATCCTACATTGCAACCCAAGGTATGTCCGAAAAGCTGTTATTAATCACGTTTCTACAGTAAAACATGATTACACAGATACACAATAAAGTTTTTTAATCAGTTACATATTATTCTAGGTCCCAAACAAAAGACAATCGGTGACTTTTGGAAAATGGTGTGGCAGGAGGATGTTTTCGTCATTGTCTGCTTGACCAACCTAAAAGAAGGAGGAAAGGTGGTGATTTACTGACCAGTCTAAAAATTCTTTTGTTACTTCCAGTCGCTCATAGTTCAAATTTGGTGTTGGCTATTCAACATCCCTTACATATGCCACATCAGTCTCTTTATCCAAATTGTGGTGTTCTACAAGAAGTATCGACAATAACTGAGCTATTTTTATTGCCATGCAATTGCCCTTAAGTAGAGCACACATTATATTTTTAAAAATTTGCAAAACATTGACCATGTCAGACAGTGAAGGATCACCTTTCAAAGAGAAAGACGGCAACAAGAAAAGAAATTGATAACCTACCTGTAAAGTCTTTGACATGCAAAACAAATATTGTTCAAACTCAAAATCTTTTGTTGACAAGGCGTGGGAAATTTTAGATGCGTAAACGTGGTACGAATTATCAATGTTGCAACAAAAAGTTGGGAGGTCGTGTGGGCTTTTCATAAATATTTTCATTTGAATTAAAGATAAACATTGTTTTTGAAAAAAAGGAAATTCACCTCCTCCCCAAAGCCTTAATAATACTCGATATTATGTTGAAGATTAAACAAGATAAAAGATATGTACTGAATGTTTCCTTTTGGACAGTATTTTGTCGCATAACATGTACCTGTGATATTTCAACTTGTTTGAATCTTTTGTTTCAAAGTCTTGAAAAAAAATATTCTTTTAGAACAAATGTGCCCAATATTGGCCAGCTATTTACGATAAAATCCAGACTGGGTCCATCAACATAAGACACCTGGAAGAGAGAATATATGCTAATTATACAATACGACGATTTAAAGTACAAAACAATTTGGTAAGAAAAAAATATCACTAAGAAAAATTATATAAGTTAAATGAAACTCAATATAAGAAACCTTACATTCTATAATGAACTACTATTATATTTGAAATTGTATACATGATAAAAATATTAATTGACAAATTACATTCTACAAAAAGGATTGTCCTCAACGGTCTAAGCCATATGTATCAGAAAGTAGGGTCCCTTATTAGTGTGGTAGTCAGTATAAACTGAGTCTGACGACTACTAAAGTACAAAGACTGAATGTGTTTTCTTTCGGAAGAAGGGGTACATATAGTTAAAAAACTATCAATAATCTTTAGCTAACATTAATATTTTACAGACTGTCTTACCCACTCAAATTATCTAAGGCAGACAAAATTACCAATTCTGGCAGGGACATGCTTTCCACCCAACCCCAACTACCATTTACAATGCACAGTAAATACTTTAATGAATAAAAATCCAAACCACTTACCCTTTTGTGTTTTTCTGATGCTTTCAGACATCCTTAAAGATATGTTTCCTCTCTATGGCGGTAAAGCATCATGAAAATACTGCTTAGAGTGTAAGTCGACCTCAGAAGTCTTCTTTGATTTAGTCTGATTTACCTTTCATTTTTTCTTCTTTATCTGCAGTCCTCACAGTTCACTTGAAGCAAGGAATGACAGGACATCAGAAATAATAAAGTCCAATGAAAAATCCATGTCTATGCACACTCCTTTTATATACCCCCGATCCATCGTACCGATGCGCATGTTCATGACGATTATTAAATGAATAAGACTAGTTTAGATATTAAAACTATAGCATGATGTGTAAATATTTCTAATGCCTATTAATAAATTTCATTTGTAAATGTCATGTACTTTGAAATGTCATTTCGGCCAGATTGATATTTGATCATTTTATTTGAGGTACACCATAGAAAACATGATATTTTTTTAATTTTTCAATTAAATGAAATATGGAGGCCTTTGATGAATTATTGATAAAATTACTACAAGAAAACTTTTTTGGTAAAATATTGACAAGAATAAGATTTAAATATACTTAATTGTGCACAGAGTACTGACCTACAGCACATAACAAAAAGGGGTTTCATTATAAAGAAAGCGGGTAATATTTCCAAATGAAATTAGTTGTTTAATCATTATTCGATTAAAAATCATTAACCGCCATACCACATGTAAAATTAAATATCGTCAGCGCAAAGCGGAGCATTCCCTTGCAAAAGAGAATATATATAAATCAAGGCAGCATTTGCCATCGATACAGATGCAAATTACGTCACTTCCGTTTCGCACAAGGAAATCTAATACATACACAAAAACACACACACACACACAAGCACGTTTTATATATGTATCCCTTCCATCTCCGTTGTGATGGGAGAATTAGCTGCCTTTTTTTTTTTTTTGAGCATGTAGCCATTTAAAATGAGCAATATTTAACAAACCAAAGGATAAGAAAAATTGTTCATCTTTGCGCGTTATAAGATTTGAAAATGAATGATGTAGCTAAAATTAATAAACATTAAACAGAACATTATTATTAGATACGCAGTTTTCTTTTTTTTAGGCCCATTTCTTTATAATAGCATAATTCATGCAAATAATTAATAAAGTGATTTTGATGACACAATTGTGATAACAGTGGTAATGAAACAAATATTATTTTCGTTGTTTACGCAAATAAATATCATTTTGTTTTAGAGGTAATACATATAATCTAGTTTTTATCCCATTTATGAAAGAGAAAACTTTTTATGTAAAATAGCTAGCACTTCGAGTTTTTTTTTTTTTTTTTTTTTTTTTTTTTTTTTTTTTTTTTTTTTTTTGCTCTTTTAAAATCTGAAAAAAAAAAAGTGAAACTGCTTAGTTTTAGTTCAAAATGCAAAAAATTACATTTTCACTCGTATCTTAAATGACGTAATATTCTGCCTAGTCAATGCATTATGTCGTCATAAACTGGTCATTTTCCCATATCCTGAAAATTTATACAGAATCTGCCAAACTTATAAGCTATTTTCAGCATTTTTTTTGAAGCGCCAGATCTAATCTAGTATTTGCAATTTTATAAAGATGGGACTGCTACTGAAAAGTAAAAAAAAGTTTTAATATTTGGATCGAGGGATGCGTTCGTATCGCCTTTCGAAAATATTCTATGAAACCTGTTTTCTTAATTCAAGACTAGACTTTGACCCTTGCGTGCACGGGTTGACATTGTTATGAATGCATCCATGTGCATGTTATCGGACATTTACAAAATAGATACATCGACACATTCATAGTGTAAGGTATTTTTGAAATAAACAATGAATGTGAATATAATTCTGTTTTTTTGTGTGTGTGTGTTTGTTTGTTTTGTTTTTTGTTTTTTTTTTTAAATTGTTGCGTAACGGCGTAGCGCAGAATGGGTTTGACCACCAGTTAGCTATAAATCAAGTCTTGAGTTCGAATCACGCCGGACCTTACATAAATTTCACTCTTCCAAACAAATTTAATAAAAGAAATGGATGTTCATTGAAAATATGACAACAGCAAAGAGTTGAGCACACTGGTGATAAATATCAAGCAAAGTAATGAAAATAAAGAAATGTGCTAAGCTGGTATTTTTACACAATCAGTTATTAAAGTAAAGATGTAAAAATTTTTGTAACAATTTTAACACTGCAGGTCTCAACTTGTTCAAAATATGACCTCAACAATAAAAGAGTTAAGCACGGCTAATACATATACATTTTATATACACAGGTAATAGACAGGTATATAATCTGTAAAAGACTGTCTGTTTTGATAAAAATTAATGTAATATCCTTGAATTAGTACATAGAAAAAGTAATAAAAATAGAAGCTTAATTGAGAAAAAATAAAAAACAAATTGGTAATCTTCAAGTACCAATGAAGTTTAAAATATATAAAACAAAAGACAGTATTCTTCCGATTTATCGGTATTAAAGGCCAAAAATTCGAGTCTATAATTTTAATATAGTAGTTATTGTAATTTTTGGCGGAAAAAGAATGCCTACTTCACTAAGATGTGATTCTAACTGGAGTTGTAACACCCCCCCCCCCTTCAGTTCCCCTCAAAAAAGCATAAAAGAAAGGAGGGATAAAATAAATCGGGTAGTTACATTAATGTTGCTCCTACGATCATGAGCTTTTTGCCTCCGTTGAGATGGCCAGAAATATAATTAACATATAATAAATGTGTCTCCGAGATGGCGAATGATTACCCACGTGGCCACAATATCACATTTGTATGGATATAAACTCAGAAACGATTACGATAATACAAACATAGGCGTCAGAAGCAAATTGAAAGTCGGGTGGCTATTTGAAAGTTGGGGGGGGGGGCTTAACCAACGAAAAAAGGTAAGCCCCAATTTTCAATGCCTATATTATGTCTATCTTTGCAAAAAAAGACCCCTATGACAAATACGACGTGTAAATTTTCATTGGAAATTTGCTATATATTCTGTTCATATATATTACTGATTTCTTATTAGAGAAATTATACAATAACTAATATATCTACTTAGTATTTACTTTTGTCTTCTCTGATTTGAACACACTCTCGACCAACGGCTCATACATTCGTGTGTGAGAGAGAAACGAACGACAACTCTGCAAGGGAGATTGATTTGAACACCGTGATTTAGCGTGAATGTAATGCGCACGCGCAAGATTGTAAAATCCAAAAAATCCAGATGATTTCCGGAATTTTTTGAGGAATTTTCGTTGATTATTTATTAGCGAAGCTTAATTGAGAAAAAATAAAAACAAACTGGTAATCTTCAAGTACCAATGATGTTTAAAATATATCAAACAAAAGACAGTACTCTTCTGATTTATTGGTATTAAAGGCCAAAAATTCGAGTCTATTATTTTAATATAGTAGTATAGATATTGTAATTTTAGAAAGCCAGTTTTTCCAGAAGTACCTGAGTTTTCGGAGTAAACTATTTTTTATAGGAAATGAAAGCACAAAGTCTCTACTTTATATTTATGTTTGAGTTTAGTCAATACATTGGTGTATCTACGGGGTCATTTTATGCACAAAGTTAACCTCGCTCTAAAAAAAAAATTGTTTTCTACAAAATACGCGACCAAATCAGCAAAGTCTTAGGAAATGGAAAGGCTAGAATAGTTGTCTGATTTTATCAAAATACCGTTTAAAAAGAAAGAAACTTAACAATTGAGAAAAAGAAAAAACCTCTTATCGAGTTAAACACTTCAGTTCTGGTCTCTTTAACGTCGTGCGTACACCTACTGTCATTCTATATCCACAGGTCACAGTGCCTCAGTGTTTTTGAAAGGTCTAAAAATGTATATTTCTCTAGAAACAATGATCAAGGATACTGAAGTAGTAAAATCTTTACTCACATTGGAATTAAATGCAAATAATGCATTTAATAGATATATTTCTTCTTCTTATATTGTTATGTGAGAGAAGGAGATGTCTTGAAAAGCTACATTTCTCCTCTCCCTTACATTCTCTCTACAACAGAAAAAGTATTTGTGAACTACCTCTAACTCTACACAAACCCCCACCCCAAAAATAAGGGTTTGCTTACCAAGATGTTTAGGACTTCTTATATAGCACCACCAAAATACAAAAGGGATGTATATATAACACATAATAAAACATTTTTAATTTCAGTGATATAAGAATATTTCATTGCAGAAAAATTTATCGCGACGTAGATTATACAAATTTATTTGTTAAATGACACCTTCGATATATATTACCGGTAATAAAACATAATATATTATGTCACTATTCGGCTTCCGTACTTTTTTCAACAAAACGTTTTAGTTTAGGGGCAGAACTATAAAGCTAGCTCTTTTTAAAATGGTTCCTAAATCGTATTACTTTGTTTGTATGTTGTTTAACGTCCCTCTCGAGAATTTTTCACTCATATGGAGACGCCACCACTTGCCTGTGGAGAGCTGCAAATTTTGTCCTATACTCGGCACTTACGGCCATTGAGCAGTAAGGGATCATTTTCGTGCCAACACCTACTGCGACACGGGGCCTCGGTTTATACGGTATCATCCGAAGGACCGGTCTCCACGTCCCACAGTGGGATTCGAACCTGCGACGTTACGCCGCGACTCTAGAGCAGACGCTCTAACCACTGCGCCACGCGGGCGACTCGTATTACTTTGAATGTGTATTAAAAAGAGGGAAATATTTATATTAGAATATATTCCCGATAATGCATAGAAAAGTCGTGGAAAAAATCTTTTCATTCCTGCAACCTAATAAAAGTAACAACCCTAGGTTCTGCAGGAAGCAAGAACTTGACAGCTTGTATTGAACTCGGTACAAGCTGTCAATAAATAAAACTAAAAAAAGAAGTATCTTGAAGGTCTTATTTTTTTATGATCCTTTGTGAGTAGTCATGATATAATGATTATCATTTAAACTTTCTCTTTTAAAATATATTACTTTAGGTCATTTTTAAACAAAAATAATGTGTTATTTATTGTCTACAAATATACACTCACTGTAATTTCCTTAACGATTTACAGAAGAAAAAAGACCGTGAGGTGTTGATGTTTCATTATACGAGGTGGCCAGACCACGGAGTTCCTGATCCTCTCAGTCTCGTTGTGTTTCATCGCCAGGTGATGAAAAAGTCCCCACAAAACCTAGGGAAATACACACTAGTACACTGCAGGTTGTACTAAGATATTTGATTTGTGAAAAAAATGCAAAATTAAATCTGCAACTTTGTCTATGTAGACGTCTGTCTGGGTTGTTTTGTACCATTTGTTAATTGATTTTCTTTTAAAAGGACAATCGCTAATTAAAATACAAAGTTTAGGTCATAAATTTCTTCTGCTTATTTATTCTTCTTTAAGCATCAACGGTCTATGGATTTTTTTTTCTGTTTATTTTGTATTAAAAATATCGTTTAAGTTAATTATTCAGGCAGCAGAGTGATTCCTTTATCATCGTAATTTTTTTTTATTAAATTATATAAGCTAATTTTGATATTTAAACGTAAACAATTTTCAACATAGAATATACTGGTATCTAAAACAATATTGGAAACAATACTAGTTAGATTTCATACTTGTAATATACTTTTTGGTTTTAAATTCCCCCAATATGTCAATTTCGTCTCGTCATCATTATTCATCATTATTGACCTGTCAGACTTAGCACAGAAAATATAAAATTTTCGTCTTAATTAAAATTATAGAGAGATAATTCAAGTTGACTCTTTTAAAGATATGACGATAAAAGATATAACTTTTATGACAAAACATAGCGCCGGAATCGGGAGAACAGGAACGTACATTGCCTTAGACGCCCTCTACCGGGAAGGGGAGAGAAATGGTAAAGTTAATGTACCGATGTACGTCAGGACAATGAGAAAAGACAGAATGAACATGATACAAGGCGATGTGAGTTTTTATGTATTGCTGATGTGTATTTAAGTTTTCCTTTTATCAAAATCCTCGAAAGAAAACTTCATAGTTTATAATCCTCTTCATTAAATAATCATAATCTTCTACCATCGGTACATTATTTTATTATATTCACGGGCTTAAAGCATAATTAGTAAATTTAACAAGGAACAATTTTTTACTTTGTCAACTTCTCGCAAATGTGTCTATAAATCTATATCTAACAACTAAAACTTCCTTCATAAACAAAGAGTTTGCTGTAGGAGCCTCATTTACTTCCAATTAAAACCATGATACCCTTCTGCATGTTTCCTCATTATTTATCAGTTTTACAGTGAATAAGGACGAGTCTATTGATATGGATTATATTTATTCAGCAAATAGACATACTGTCCATTAAAGGTGAATACAATGAACAAAACTTCCTGTTAAGTAACCTGCCTTTATAGGTGAAGCTTGTCAATTGTCCTGAAATGTTTCCCTAAAATTACCCCAAATATTGTTTCCTTCTTGGTGCGTTTTCTTGACAGATCTCATCTTAAGTTTAGAAATAAACGCCGAATTATATTCGTGTGTTTTCTAATCGGTTCACTATTGTCAAATAAAATCATTTCCCTGTCCATATATACTATAAACTGAAATGTTTTAAATTACCTTTAGATCTACTAAAGCTTATCAAAACATAATGTATATGTGCGCAGGCTTCCTTTATAGCTACATATAACGAATATCAAGTTTAAAATATATTGGTTAACAAGTTCTTTATAAAGACATGGATCTTTTTATGATCATTAAATAAAGAAATGTGCATAATGTACACGTAAAGTGTGCATAGAGTGCCGGTTGAATAATAATTTGGATGCAGCTATCAATAATTCCCTTACTCATGTAAATGATGTGAAACTTTTCCACAGCCGTATTTTACATGCTGGATATTTAATGTAATTAAAAAAGAATTACCATTTTTATTCCTAATACTCGTATAACAATGTCCATATTGTTAGTTGATTCCAGACACTGAAATGGATTCATGGAGTTATTTGATAAGAAATTCATCCTTTTATCACCACAATGAAAAAGATGTAGGTAATAAATATTGTTTGAAATTCTCTTAATATTATCCTCTTATCTTAGGACCAGTATAAGGCAGTTTACCTAGTTCTTTGTGAATCGTTCAATGGGAAGTCCAGATGCCTAACAACAGAGTCATTTTTACGAGATCTACAAGAACAGTCTTGTTATAGCAACTGTCGAGATGTTGCAGGAAAATCGTCTTTTTCATCAGAGCTTCAGGTGGTTACTTACTGACTTCTCTGACTTTCGGATCCGTTATCTGTAAATCGTAAAATACTTAAATTTAATTGTTTAATGAAATCAATTTAGAAAAATGATTTTTGAAACAAGAAAGGTATAATCTGAATAAGTGAACAACTATATTTTGAATATTGCCTGTTAATAAGTAGAATTGTATAGGCCTACACTAAAAAAGGTAGCAATCTGAGTCATTATTATTGTTCTTAGGAATTACTATCTCTGCGCAAAGAGTATACAGAAAAGGACTATGAATCTGGAAGAAAATACATGACTGCAAACAACACTGAAGAAGTCCTTCCAGGTATACAATATAATAAACAAACCATATTGCACAAATTATGTACAAAGCATACAATATTACTCAAAGTATATTAACTGTTTTTTTTAATGTTTCGTGAGTAGTGTAATAATGGAGTAAATAGTTCAAAGGTGAATTCAATTAGAAGCAATTATTATGAATATATGCAAAGTCTATCGTTGTTTTATCATATTCGTGGTTTAAATTTCAGTGGAAGAATTTCTTTGCTATCTGTCATATACAAAGGGACGCAACAACTACTATAACGCTGTTCTACTTCAGGTCCGACTTCTAATTGTTTGGAACTAAATTGTTTAATTATAATTTTTATTATACTATATAATTTAAGTTCTAAAGTTTACTTACCTAATATACATAATCTTCATTGTCCTTTTCAGAACTTAATGCAACAATCATATATATTAAAAACGTTTGACCTTTTCATTCGAATTTTGATAAGTGGGTTGAATGAAAAAGAAAGAAACATCTACATTTCTTTAAGTTTAAACTTTTAACTTTCAGTCCTTCACAGAAAACGACAGTCTTATCAGCGCTCAGTACCCACTTCCTGATTACACTGAAGATTTTCTCAGACTCATCAGAGATTTTGATGCTCGTGTTGTGGTTTTCATGTGTCCACTAAAGGACTTGAAATCCGTAGGACACATTGAAAAATATATATAATAGTGTTTCTTAAATTATGTAAAACAAACAGAGAGCAACATATATTTTTTAATCCTTTTTTTTTTTTTTTTTTTTTTTTGTCAAATATATAAGACCTTTATGATACTTTTGTGACAAGAATCTAAAATGTATAGTAACAACTTCTTTCTAGGTAATAATTTCTCAAAGAGTCCTTTGAAATACAATGTTTGATACTAAAAAAAAGCACTAATTAGTTTAATAATTTGACTTCAGTCATTACTTTGGCTTCCATATAAATCTGAACACAAAACCGTTGGGAGTTTCTCAATCAAACTTTCATCTTCAACAAACTCTACAAATTTTACGTCGAGAAATATAATTCTACAGTCAGAGGTGAGCTGTGTGAATAATGTCTCCAAATTTAATTCTCACAATTTTGAAATATTTATTTGATTTATTCAATGGCGTTTTTCTGTAGGGATTAAGAACCATGGCAACCACAGTTCTAGAATGCAAGGCATGGAAGGAAAACAGGATGATAAATGACAAACGAGCCTTACTGGACTTAGTCAAGGAAACAAAGGCTACAAAACTCAAGCAAAAAGAAGGGAAAATTCTTATTCTATCCAGGTACACGTATCTTTGGGTAATATTCAATCTTTTGCATAAAATACAGCAATAATATGTGCATTAGGATCATGTGGTTTGGTAACATAAAAAGATAGGGCTTATTTATTCTTTAAAATTAGAAGATTTTACAGTAAGTCATGTTTATAGCGAAGTGCAAGAGACGACAAAGTTTACTTTACAAGACGTTTTATGACCTTTGAATCATTTCGATTTAAGCGTGGTTTTATTCTAAGTGTGTTCGTTATATGCGTGTTTAATTGATTGACATGGCGTTTATACCACACTATTTAAAATGCTAATGGTTGACAATAACGTGATGTGTTAGATGTTGTTCCACTTTGACAGTGATGGTGCCACACGTTGTGGAGCGTTCTGTGTGGTTTATAACGCTCTAGAACAACTATCTATGGATCAGGAGGTGGACATCTTCACTATCACACGGCAATTTCAAGTTCGTAGACCCGAGTTTGTGTCTACCTTGGTATGTATAATTAACCATTCCTGTATGGAAAATCATTAAGGACCATTGGTTAATATTTATCAATACCTAATTTGAACTGACCAACAAAATGAATAATCATTCTGCTTCTTAATAACGTTATATGTACCCGGGAACATTTCAATTTCTAAAGGCATGTTTAAACCTCAGGTTAGTAAAAAATTGAAAAAAAAATGGTTTCATTTTTTACACTTTGCCTATTACAGCATTATAATGCAGAAGACAATTAAATATGTAGTTATATGCACATCCCGAACTCCGTTTGAAAAAAAAAAAACCACCTGTAAATATAATGAATTCATACCATCAGGCCTCGTACATTGTGTATGTCGTGACATAATACCCTTTTTCATACTTATTCAGAGGATGTAATTTATGGCAGAACTGATAGTTTATACGTTTGACCTTGATGTACCGAGTGCACATCTTTCCAATGCTTTTTTATATCTTAATTTCTTGATTAATTGATTATAAATTTCATAAGTGATATAAAAATGCATATTAAATGTTCGAGATGATTATATATTTCGTCTAAAACTTTTTTTCAAATAAAGAAGTAAAAGAATTCTGAAGCGTTGTACATGTATGATATTCTATTCGTTTCAGGAGGAATACCAGCTTTGTCATGAAGTAGTGGCAGAATTCATACAAAATGATAGTGTGTATGCAAATTGCTAAACAAATACAAGATCTGCTTAAAAACAGATGCCTTTTTTTCAAAATAAATGTACCACTTCTTAACTTTGTGCTTGTTTCATTAATCTTCCAAAAGGAAGAATGAAATACCAAAACCCCCCGAGTACAATGATTTTTCAGTGAAGACAATAATCAGAACGATTTATGATGATTAAGAAAACTTGAATGTGCTAATTGCTTTGCTTCGTATTTATTTTGTTGGTAAATTTGCATTTTATGATTATTTCTTTTCTCTTTCTTTTTCCCTTATTTTTGGTTTAAAATGTGATTGTTTTTGTAGTAAATCGAATAAATTTGCTTGTTCATTCATTATTTTATACTTATTCAATAGATTTACTTTTATGAATTGAATGTCATGTATTGAAAGAGCAAAAAATGACAAGAACAATACACATACATGTATAAAAGACCTGCATTTTTTTTTTTAATTTCTTTACTATTCTAATATATACTTAAAGGGTAAATGTAATAAATCTTCCATTGTTTTTCTTCAGACATTTATGAAAGGGTAACATCTGTATAATTCAGGTGGATATTTGATATAATTTTACTTTTTTCTATACATCTGGTAACATACATCTATATATTTGGGAAACATGCAAAATAATTTATTATAGAAAGAATGGCGTTTGTCATCAGACTAATTATGTTTAAATGTTCTGTACTTTGATTTCAAATAGTTGACATAGGATTGCGTACAAAGATAAGTTTTGAATCTTTCTTATTTTGATTCGAATATGTCTTAAAATAAAACTTGAATTAGGTTTTCAACCCACTATACAGCTCATTTCGGGGTATTCCAAAAAATTCATTTTCTTAAGGCACATCAAATTAATAGAAAATCAAGTATAGAAGCACATTCATTTTGCGAAAATTTATTTTTTTTCTCTGAAAAAAGAAACTCGTCGTATTGCATAATAAGAGCGATAAATCTTGTCTAAAAATATTTTCATATTTTCACATTAGTGTTTGCGGATGTTATTTCGATATATTTTCCATCCTGCTTAATAAATCAGAATTTTAGGATCATAAGAGTGTACCTTATAAATATGCATGCTGATTAAATGAATAATGGAGTAGGTGTTGTTGCTTGATATATAAAGGTAATCAAATTTACATGTAATAGAACACCCAAACATTGGTAAAATACTAAAAATAACTTTTCTTTTAAACTTTTATTAGCTCACCTGAGCCGAAGGCTCAAGTAAGCTTTTCTGATCACATTTTGTCCGGCGTCCGTCTGTCCGTCTAGCTGTCCGTCTGTCTGTCTGTAAACTTTTCACATTTTTGACTTCTTCTCAAGAACCACTGGGCCGAATTCAACCAAACTTGCCACAAAGCATCCTTGGGTGAAGGGGATTCGAGTTTGTTCAAATGAAGGGCCACGCCCTCTTTCAAGGGGAGATAATTAGGAATTAGTGAAAAAAAGGCATCATTTAAAAATCTTCTTCTCAAGAACCACTGGGCCAAGAAAGATGAAACTTATGTGGAAACATCCTCAGGTAGTGTACATTCAATTTTGTTCAAATCATGACCCCCGGGGGTAGATGGGGCCACAAAAGGGGATCAAAGTTTTAATTAGAAATATATAGGAAAATATCTTAAAAAATCTTCTTATTAAGAACAGTAAAGCCATGATTGGTCATATTTATATGGAAGCATCCTCAGGTAGTGAAGATTCAAGTTTGTTCAAATCATGACCCCCGGGGGTAGGGTGGGGCCACAAAGGGGGATCAAATTTTACATAGAAATATATAACAAAATATCTTTAAAAATCTTCTTCTTAAGAAGAGTAAAGCCATGATTGGTCATATTTCTATGGAAGCATCCTCAGGTAGTGAAGATTCAAGTTTGTTCAAATCATGACCCCCGGAGGTAGGGTGGGGCCACAAAAGGGGATCAAAGTTTTAATTAGAAATATATCAGAAAATATCTTTAAAAATCTCCTTCCTAAGAACAATAAAGCCATGATCGGTCATATTTATATGGAAGCATCCTCAGGAAGATAAGATTCAAGCTTGTTCAAATCATGACCCCCGGGGATAGGGTGGGGCCACAATGGGGGATCAAATTTTACATAGAAATATATAACAAAATATCTTTAAAAATCTTCTTCTTAAGAACAGTAAAGCCATGATTGGTCATATTTATATGGAAGCATCCTCAGGTAATGAAGATTCAAGTTTGTTCAAATCATGACCCCCAGGGATAGGGTGGAGCCACAATGGGGGATCAAATTTTACATAGAAATATATAGGAAAATATCTTTAAAAATCTTCTTCTTAAGAACAGTAAAGCCATGATTGTTCATATTTATATGGAAGCATCCTCAGGTAGTGAAGATTCAAGTTTGTTCAAATCATGACTTCCGGAGGTAGGGTGGGGCCACAATGAGGGATCAAAATTTTACATAGAAATATATAGGAAAATATCTTTAAATATCTTCTTCTTAAGAACAGTAAAGTCATGATTGGTCATATTTATATGGAAGCATCCTCAGGTAGTGAAGATTCAAGTTTGTTCAAATCATGACCCCCAGGGGTAGGGTGGGGCCACAATGGGTGATCAAAGTTTACAGAGGAATGTATAGTAAAAAATATTTTCTCAAGAACAGAAAAGCCATGATGAGCCAAATTGATTTGGAGGCATCCTTCGGTAGTGTAGAATGAAGTTCGTTCAAATGAGGGCCTCTGTGGGTAGGTTGGGGCCACAGTGGGGATCAAATTTTTACAAATGAATATATTGGAAACAATCTTCTGCTCAAGAACAACAAAACCATTTATTATATTGATATGAAAGCATCATCAGGTAGTGTAAAATTCAACACCCCCTCCGGGTAAACTTTTAAATACTGAACTGATTTTTGTTTTTTTCCCCTAGCCAATGTGCTCAGGTGAGCGATGTGGCCCATGGGCCTCTTGTCATTGTTTATGCACACAATCCACATTGTAATTCATTCCATGATCTGCAATATCATAAATACATATTTATATTTAAAAATATGAAGATAGTGTTGGGTAGTGCGCTTGAAATGTTAACGAAAAAGATATTAAGTAAACTATGAAGTGTCAATCATTTCTTTAGTCACCCATTTTGAAAGAGTACATTGTATTAAACTGTGTAGCTATGCAACGAACTCCTTCTTCAGATTTCATTGTTCACTTTACAAGAGCTTTGTCTAGGTAATCCAAGAGAGACAGACAAACAAACATATGCGCCGAATAATATAGCAATCCACATTTTTATTTCAGTTCTCATAGTTTTTCTTGAGAGCTCGTAAATTTTCAAGGTTTAAATTCGTCTAATAACTAAAGGTGGTTTTCATTAGTTTATTTTTCTTTTTCTTTCAATTAGTATTCTATTTTCATAAACAATTGCAAAGAATAATCAATGAAAGGGTATTTCGAACATTGCCCATACGCCAAATTCCTACTTATATTTGAATAATTCTGCAGAAGTTAAGAAAGCAACTCATTAAAATTATGTTTTAAGAGGGGTTGTCAACGAATAATAGGTTAATTGAATTCTCAACTAAAGCGCAAAGTTGCAAACTTTTAAAAGATGAGTAGTGTGTCATCAAAGTTTATATTTAAACTATTTATTATGTTTCATACACTGTATGTACTCCATACTTAAAGGTGCTTGGACACAGATTTGAACCTAATATTTTCTCAAATTTTCTGTATAATATCACGACTTATATGTTGCAATAGCATTTCACTTGAAAATATAATTACAAACTTATTTTATATGGAAATTATTGGAACTACGAATTCCGGGATGCGTTTGATAAACACATCTTTGCACTTACACAAATTTTAACTTTATCCTTAATATTTAAGAAAAGAAGCGATTTTGCTACGTATTAATGAAAAAATATTATATCTATAATCCAGAAAATTCAGAGTAGAAATGTTCAAAAGCAAAACCAACTCACCAATATTGTCAGTCCGTGCTCTGTGATGTGTACAGAGTTTAACAAATTGAACACACCCGTGAAACGTAAACTGTTTTTTGTAAACAGGGCACGAGCTCTGTTATTGTTAATGTTTACGATTATCCTGGTGTGTTCAATTGTTAAACTCTGTACACACCATTGAGCACGGACTTACAATACTGTGAGTGAATTTTCTGGGTTATAGTTTTAATATTTTTTTCATTAATACACAACAAAATTGCCACTTTTCTTAAGAATTAAGAATCAAATGAAAATATGTGAATGCGCAAGGATGTGTTAACCCAACGCGTCCAGAAATTTGAAGTTTTAATAGCCATTCTCTGTAAGCATTTAAACTCTTATATAGGGAGTGTGGCACGCTAGGTCTTGGATTTTTATGAAACTTGGCACACATTCCTATATTGATGTATGAAACTAAAATTCATAATAAAATGGTTGCTATGGCCAATGGTTACCAAGGCAACCAACATACATTTTTCATGGCCTAACAAACGCTAAATTTTAATAAGAAATGATCCTTTTTGAATAATTAAAAAGTCTTTAACAGAACAAGATATTTACATGGCTTTATCTTTTTGCCAAAATAAATTATTTTAATAGTTCTTTAGATTATTTCTAGTATTTGAGTAACTTTACCTCATAGAAAAAATATCCCCCGTTTTTAAGTAGGATTTTTCTGGGGAAAATTTGTAGATTTTAGACTTTTTCGAAAAGCCTGATATAAAATTTTGCGGACATTTGGAAAAAAAAATAAATACATTGGTTTGAAAGTCCATATATAGTTCTATTAGAAACTGCAAAGACACACTTGGTATTCATATTTCATTTTCATGTTACCATGGTTACAAACTTATGCTTTTTTAAAAAATTCCAGACAAGGGCAATGGGTATCTACAATCATTTTCAATATAAATACCTGAGTATTTTATAATGGATTAAAACCAAATTTAGATATATGGTACACAATAGCAAAAACACAGAGAAAACCAATTTTCATGACAAAAGGTCAAAGGTCAAGGTCAAATGGCTTGATTACTATGGAAATTTAAGGAATCTAAACACATTTATTTTCGGTGTCATAACTAATACTTGTGTTTTAAACAACATAATTTGAAGAAACAAATTACAATTCTGGTGGATAATAACTAGCATTACATAAATAGGTAAATACAGACAGGAGGTTCAAGGTCACAATGGTATATAAAAT